AATCCGATCGCTATGGTCGCTCCGTGAGGATTCATTCCGCCCAGGGTCTGTCGAAAAATGATTACCGCGTAGTAATTAAATGCATTCGCGCCAGAGAATCGCTGGAAAAACATCAGGCCGCACGTGATAGCAATGGGTTTGTATAGCCTCGGTGTAAACATACTGTTCTTGAAAGTAAGCTCGTACTGCTTAGCCCTCGAAGCCAGAATGTTCGTTTTGATGACCTGAAGGCATATCGTTAACCATCCCGAATTTATAATTATTTACTTACAATAATCATCGAATTATCTCTCGTCGATTTGCGTCGAGAATTCGAGAAAGATATGAAAAGGAAGCTATTTTATTCTGAAAGTTATCTGTTTTTCAAAAATCTGAAAATCACCTGCAGCTCGTGTCTTATATCAACATGTTCTCCGCGCAGCCACTGCAAACTGTTGGCGGCCTCGTCATCTTTGCCATTTAGCACGAGGTACGACGGTGTCTCGGGTATAAAGAGAGTCCCCAAAAAGAGCATTGACGGCGCGACGGCCACTAGTAGCGCGCTTTGACGCCAATTCAGATACGTGCCGGCTATGTACGACAGCAAGACACCAACGTGGCCGAGCACCTTCAACATCGCCGACAAACACCCGCGGATGCCCGGGATCGAGATTTCCGATATGTACACCTGCCGAAAGAAATTTGCTCGTACGTCGACCGGAGTAGTTTAAAAATCAATTAAATCGAGTCTTTTTTTTTTACCTGCGCCACCATGGTGATGACCGAACAGCAAAGCCCGCCGATGAAACTTGTGACGTACACCAATTCCACGCACGGTGAGACGCACGTTAAGACCCAGGCTGCCGCCAGGGGCAAGGATGTCATGCGTAAAGCTAAACGACGACCTCTCCGCATTATCCAGTCGCCGATCATGGCACCGAACCAGGCGCCCAACATGGACAGCGACGCGACCCACGAGGCTTCCTGTTGCGTAACCGAAAAAGCCAACCTGCAACCGACAAACCGTAAGCGCGATTAAAATCGGCATATTGTCTGGACGCCGCGTCGGGTGTAATTCAGGCGCGTCCAGGAGACACTCGATATATTGCGTATTGTTCCCAAAGTATCCGGGCCGGACGTCAGGTGCAAACGTAATCGCTCTTGGCAGCCGCGTCTCGGCTGTCGAGTATTATTTGTGAACAGCTTCTCAGTAGAGTTCGCGTGTTGTCGTCGTGCAGTAGACGCATCCCGAAATTAGCAACCAGGAACGTAACGTTCGAATAAAGCCACAGCGTGGATATAATTGTCCACGTCTGTCGACGTTTCGAATTGAAATTCGATATTATTTAACGCGACAGATTTTCATCCGTACAACACATGAGAATGTTTTTCTTATCTTATATTTATACAATTTAGTTATCGAATGTAGCAGATCCTCCTTACCACGTGTCATTGTTGGGTGATTGATAAAGACGGGGCGGTTGATTATCCAATATAGAGTCCAACGCGGGCGAGGTGTAACCCTTGGCCAAACCGGAGGAAAGAGTTCCCATAGACAGCGCCAGGGTCGCCAGTACCTATCCAGATAAACAAGCTTTGATGAACTCACGCGTGAAAATGGTCTTTTTATGCTGACGCGAAAGAATTTATGCAGGAACGCGGTGTAACACACCGCCACCGGTGCGAACGTCAACTTCACTTATTTTACGACGAGTGACTGAAATTTACGCCCGTGTATTCATTTTACCGCGTTCTTTGTGGACGCATACCGCTCTGTAAAGATCATAGAGTCCGGTAGCGTCGAAAGGAGTCGTAACTCCCACGATGTGATCTACGTTCACCTCGTGGGATATTTCCGTTCGCATTGCGCGCACGTTTTCAATTTAAAAGGATTTATCTCGACTCGCTACATCCGCATTATCGAAAATCTATCGATATAGAAACACGAGTCGGCGTACTCTGTTTTTATTTTTTTTTTTTCGAGTTTTCATCTTATAACGTCTCGTCGAAAAGCATTCTGAATAGCGGTGAAACTGCAATGTAACGCTGGGTATAAATCCGTCCATCGCGTACCATGATGCACCAGTAATGCACACTATACATCTAGAGTGAATGCATCGCGAATTTGTGCTGCCACGGGGTGCAACCGACGAACAAATTGCTAGCCACAAATTGAAAGCTGGGCTTGGCTTCTCGCGAGGAATACTAAACATTTCGCGTGGCCCTACATTTATGTGCATGAATATGTATATACATCTGCAACATACACATATTCAATTTCAAAGTACCGCGACGCTATATACGCATCCTTCACGCGACGACCGGACGCATATAAGTTCCCTCTCGTGGATATTGTCTATATGCAACCGCGGGCGCGTATCGCTTTTCTAAACAATGTATAATTTTGTGAGGGATAATCTCGTGACGAAACTTTTGGAACGTGTGGAAGCACAAGATTAGTATTCTGTAGCGATTTTACAGCAGGAAGATATATATTTGTATAAATTCGCGACTCTTTTCACTAACTCATTGAACTTAAACGTCAAACTAATTCTTCTGGACGTCTTATCTTTGTCACCGCATGCACGCTCAGCATTCGCGAGCTTACGGTGAGAAATGAGTGACGTAAGAATATCTGCGCCAAGCCCTCTATCTATTTGTTTTTGCACAGTAGATATCTTTACACGGTACGCGTGTATTTATTATGGTGCATGCATAAATCTCCGAATCTAAGATAAATGTACCAATGCCTGGACACTTAAGACCTATGTCTGGGACACCTTTATCATTTTAGTTTCTAAATAAGTATATCGCGAATTAAAATCAAAGATAAAAATATAACACAAGAAAAAATATTTTTATCTTTAATTCTTTGATTTTAATTCGCGTTTTAACTTATTTAAGGACTAAAATGATAAAAATGTCCAGACATAGGTATGTGTCCAGGCATTGGTACATTTACCTTAAATGCGATAACTTATCTTATTGGTATCCCGATTCTCATTGTTTTTTCAGTTTTTTCAGTTTTATGAGATAAATAGACTAAAAGAAATGAGAAAACTACTACGAAACAATAGCAGTACTCAAATATAAAGCTAAAATAGTACGTAATTTACATTCCATTTATATTATGTGAATACATTACAGTAAATAAAAAAATTTCGTTTTTGTATTCTAGATCTCTTACTACAATACTAAAAAATTCTGCTTCGAAAACACTTCCATCGCGTTACGCAACTCTAGTTTCTTGATTCGCGTTATTATCCAGTCTATTCGTTTAGACAACTTATCATTTATCTTGTTCCACAAAACACAACGCGCTCGTGTTAATCCACAAAGCCACATTACTCACGATAATCGATTAAAAAAATTCGCTGATATTTTGTATTAAACTTCGACGTTTTCTCGACGTGGATATGTAATTTACAGCGTAATGCGAGCAACGAAAGTGCCAGTAGTTTGATTTTAATGCGCGATGACCCGTCGTAACTCATATTCGCGGCGAGCGGGACGACGAGCGCGTATTCGATAAGGAATTTCAAGCGGCGCCGCCGATCCCACATAAATTTGCATGCACTTTCAATTATCTCTCTCGCCATTAGGAGCAGCGAGCGTAAACGGTCGTATTATGCGATTGGACGTGTCGCCATGTGTAACCTTTCTATCGTCTCGCCAGAGAGGCGCACACGATACTGTCGTCTCCCCTGGACGATAATAAGGCGTGTATCGCCCCGAGCGCCGCTTTGCAATTAGACCTTCTTTTCTTTCCTTCGTCTATACGTCCGTTGACCGTGTGAAAATTATAATGTAATCTAAAACATAATTCTGCGCGCCTTACCGACTAATTGGTACACGGTGATAAAGTCTTGACTTCGAAGGGGAAGGACAAATTTACGACTATATTCCCGCTTTCCATTCGATGCTATCGAGATTTGTAATTACGATAGTACGTCGAGGTACAAGTTCAGCCGACATGTCGCGAGAATTCGTACTATGTGCCTTGCTGTTAAAAGCAAATTGCGCGTAGCTTTCGGATTTGTTAGCTATTATCAATCTGTTATTAATCTCCGTAATAATTTTTATCTTCAACTATACATCGCCGACTTTTTTTATGGCTTGAGCGGACCGCGGAGAAAACACGTCGGATATCGTCAATTTTAATTATTCGTTATAATATCGGTATGCGCGAGCAGCAACAGCGGTAATGGACATGAGTTTACGAGCGCGCTCGGCCTGAGTCGCTTTCTTCGACTAATTATCGGGGCCGCGCGATGAATAGCGCATTCAAGAAAATGTTAGGCACGGTAACGAGCGCCGATATGTTTCCCCGTTTCTTAGAGCGGTGATGGAGAATTTGGAATATTAATTACGGTTTACGAGATACACGTTAAGGGTATATATACGAGCCGTGTTTATCTGCGCGCGAGCCGCCGCGCGATATCGCCCCGCAATGCTGATACAGGCGAACGGTTTCTATTAACGACACACACGAGGGATTTTAACGAGCTAAAAAGAAACACGCATACTCTCTCGCGCGCTCACGTGACGAGAGCGTATTTCCCTTCCGAACGTAAGAAATTCGCGCCCCGAAACGCTTCGGGCGATATTATTTTTGGGCGTTCTTCCTCGCGTACCCTTCTTTTGCGCGCCTCTTTCTCTTTCTGCCTATCCTCTCTCACTCCCGGGCACGACGTTAAAAGCTCGTTTGCATCGAGCCGTGCGAAATACTCGGAGCAGTTCCGCAAGCGCGGGGGATGTGCGTCAGAGCGTCGGGTCGAAGTTAGCCGGGGGAGCCATTAGCTTAAAACTATTAGTCGACTGTGGGGTAAAGACGAGAGAGAAAGGGAGAGGAAAAACGAGCTTTAAAAGTCGACTCCCGCTTACACGATTATGAGGATGGTTGGTCTCGGTGATGCTGTGTTAAGTGTGCACCCAATGTATGTGGGTGTACGACGGCGGTCTTCTGCCCTACCCGAAAGGCCTTCGTGCGCGATATCCATTTTAAATACTCAATTACGCTCGGTGCTATCTTCGGTGTTTGCATATCAATATGGCTCCTCGCCAAGCAGAAATAAAAAAATTCGTCGCACTCCGTCCGTCCGATTATTTAAGAACCGCGTCCTGCGAACACCGATGCCGGAGGGGCACAAATTGCCAGCGTGCGCTGAGTAAAAATATCCATAATCGCGTTAGAAATTCGGTAGCTACAGAGCCACGAGAAGAATACATCAAAATCGCACCTTCGGTGGACTGTTCTTTTGTTGCCATTTTTATGCCTTTGACAAATCTCTGAGATACGTCCCATACAGCACAGATTGTTGCAGAAAGCTTCCAGAAAGGTTCCAAATTATTTGAAACCTTTTTGAAAGCTTTCTGCAACAATCTGTGCTGTATGGGATTGCATACGATAGTCATCTAAATTTCACACTTAATTGATATAAAGACGATCATTTATTATTAGCGTAAACTTAACGAATTAATAACTTTATTGATGATATATGATATACTTGTGACATGTGATGCGGCCTCGTCGCCGTCGACGTCATATGTACCACGGAAGCCCTGGGCATTTTGAAATTGTCCTCGCCCTCGTCCGGTATCGTTGTTACCTGCAACAAAATGCAAATGACGATCAATATCACCGATAACTAAACCAGCATCGAATTGGTTTTTCCTTTACTTTGTCGCGCGCGGTTATTTTCTTCGTTTCCGGTCGTACCAATTTTATACCCGTATACGTCTAGTTTTATTTTTAACTTCTTTTTGAAACCGTTAGAATCGAAAGATTCTTAAAGTAATTCTCCCTGTCTTCATTTTTAGGAAGTGTACGACTCTGATATTTTTATCACAAAACTTTCTTTCCGCTGATAGCACACTTTCCCGCCCTCTCTCTTCCAGTCTGCTGACCACAGAATCGTTAGCTGCCCTTTTGGGGACGAGAGTGGGCCGTCAATCATTTGTATTATCTTACCGACTCGAACGCAAGTCACCCAGGCAATAGCCGAACAGCTTAAGAGACGCTGCT